TCACGACACGTCCACGGTCCACTGCGCGCCGTCCTGCTGGCTGCCCAGTCGGAGCCTGTGCAGGCGCCGCTCGGACCTCATGAACTCGGCCACGACCGCGGCGCCCCAGCGGCCGACCAGCCTGGCGCCCGGCGCGAGGAGCGGCAGCCACGCGCGGACGTCCTCCGCCAGGCCCTCGAAGCTTAAGCGGGCGTCCAGGACCAGCAGGTCCACCCGCGCCCCCTCGCGGCGGAGCAGGCGGGCCGCCCGGGAGGTGGACATCGGCATGAGCACGCGGACCCTCGGCAGGGGGCCGAAATGCTGGAGCTTGGCTCGGGCTGCTGCCAGGTCGAGGCTCCGGTTCTGGCCGAAGCCGTACTTGTTCCCGTCGGCGTCGATCATGAGGTCCACCCCTGTCCAGTGGATCCAGTCGTAGCGCGAAAGCAGGTGCTCCGCCAGCTCCCCGGCCTGCACGCCGAGCTCGACCAGGCGCAGCGGCCGCCCGAGGGACAGGAACGCCTCGCCGGCGATGCCCTCCACCCAGTGTCGAAAGGCACAGCAGAACCTCACCTCGAAGGCGGCGGGCGGCGGGGGGCGCGTCGGCAGAAAGAGCCCAGTCCACGACAGCTGCGACGCGAGCAGGACGTTGGCCTCTCCCAGGCGCTTCGCCTTCAGCTGCAACTTCTTCAGGTTCAGCTGCAGCTCGAAGCCGCCCTCGACTTCTCTCTGTTGCAGGGGCGCGACATCCTGTAACAGCTCTTCGGCGCGCCTGCAATGACCGAGCATGAGATCGGCGACGGGCGGCCAGGCCTCTGGCGACGCCGCGCAGCAGCGGGCGCCGTCGCGGCAGCAAGCCTGCTCCAGCCCCGCCAGCTCCCGCAGCCTGGCCAGCGCCGCGCCGACTCCCGCGGCCCCAGCCGCGGGCGCGCCGGCGCCGGGGGGGGCGCCCGAGCAGGCGCGGGCGCCAGGCAGCAGCTTCCCGGCCATGGCGGGCTGCAGCAGGGCGGTGGCACACCGCAGGGCCTCGCCGGCGATGCCGAGCAGGTGCAGCGACAATGCCTCTGTGAGCTGCAGGGCCTCCCTGACGTGGTCCGAGGTCTCGACCCGCAGGCTCTGCCTGTAGGCCCACATCACGAGCACGATCTGCTCGTCCAGGGATTCGGCAACGCTCATTGACCTGAAGTGTGTCCAGTGGGCCGGCCAGCTGATGCCGCTCATGCCCGAGCCCGCCACGGTGAGCTGCAAGGGCGCCAGCGCCCACGCCGCCTCGGCCCGGGGGACCCGCTGGAAGAGACAGCAGGCCTCGAATCCGCCTGGCCAGTGAGCCCAGCAGGCTGCAGACACGGGGCCCTCTCCGCAGCACACCTCCGCGGACCAGCCGCCGCCCCAGCAGCTCGCGGGGGGGAAGTGGCCGGCAAGCTGCGCGGGCACGGCGGGCACGGCCGCGGTCGTGACGCACGCGGGTGGCAGAACCGCGCACAGCTACGAGACCTATGTTGCTTCACATCAGCAATTTGGCCCCTGCTGACTTTTTTCAAAATAATATTTTGGGATGAAACGCTGCCGCTGGATATATCGAGCACAGTTGATCACAACACAAACGCTCCTGCGATCCCCGCCAAAATGGCAAGAAATGGTAAGCTCAGATCCGCATGGCTACATTGCAACCGAACCGCTTGACCACCATCTCGACCGAACTGGCGGAATTCGACCACGCGTCCGACAAAATACGTTCGACGAGGGATGCGCTGCACAATGCCCCGGCCACGGGCAGCGCTACGAGGGAAAGCGGGCCCTTCGATGTGTCACTTTCAGCGCCCGTGAAAGTGACACCTCCCAGGGCCCACTTAAAGAGCACCAGAAAGGCTCCAAGAAGGCCCCGAGAAGGCCCCAGGGCGGCACCAAGAGGGCTCCCAGAGGGACCCAAGAGAGGCCCCAAGAAGGGCCCAAGAGGGCCCTCCGCGGTGTCACTTTCAACGCCCGTGAAAATGACACCTCCCAGGGCCCACTTAGGGCCTCAGAAAAGCTCTAAGAAGGCCCCGAAAGGGCCATAGAGAGCCGCCCTGGGTTCAACTCCGCGTGGCGGAGTTGGAAGCGATAACTTCAATACCCTACTGGAGGCCTCTTAGGGGCCCTAAGACGGCACTGAAGAACCCCATCGGGGCTTTTTCAAAGGCAGAGGAGGGCGCAAAAAGGGGCCTCAGTGAGCCCCTGGTCTAACTCCACCTGGCGGAATTGGAAGCGATATCGCCCGGCGCCTTCATGGAGCCGCTCGGAGCTTCCAAGACGGCTCCAGAAGGCCCCAGGAGGGCCCCAAGAGGATCGAACGACGATTCCTGGAAGTGCACCAGTGAGACCCTTGTTGACCTCCGCCTGGCGGAGTTGGAAGCGACAATTTCCAGTGCCCTCTTGGGGCCTCTGGGGGGCCCCTCAGAAAGCTTTGGGGAGCACAGTGAAGGCCTTCGCAGGGCCGCGTGAGAGCCGTACCAGGGCCGCATGTGTGCGCGGATGGGGGCGACGAGTGCTGACGCTGACGAATATGAGAATGATGAGGGCGATCAAGGCTGGCCCGAAACAAATCCTGGCGCCATTGCAGGCCGCCGATTATCGGCCACGCCGCCAGGACGACGCCAAGCAACAAAACGACACCAACCAACAAACCGACACCAACCAACAAACCAACAAATCGACACCGGCCAACAAAAGGACACCAAGCAACAAAACGACACCAAGCAACAAAACGACACCAACCAACGAAACGACACCAACCAACAAAACGGCACGAATCAACAAAACGGCACTGACCAACCAAACGACAAATCACTTCACGACACCAATGAACAACGCGAAATCCACCGACCGCCAACCAAGCATAAAATCAACCGACACAACGAAACCAACCCATAGAGCCAGACCAACCACTGGATTCGTGAGTCGGGGTAGTCATGGAAGTGAGCCGCTGCAGCCCGCGGAAGCCATTAACAGTGACCAGAGCACCGCAATGCAGCAACGTCCCCGGGCGGCGGCGGGAGTCTTGGATCTCCCGCGGGACTGGAGCGTAGCGAGTTCGTCCTGGGTCCGGTTTAGTGAAGTGAAGAATTTCGGGGTGCTTGCATGGCAAAAACCTTCACTTCACTAATCTGGGGCCCCTGGAGCCCCAGGGCGTTTCAGGTCCCCTCGCTGTCTGGGTAGTCCAGGGGGCGCAGTGGCGGCTTACCAGAGGCCCTGTTCCCTAGCCTCACTTGCTTTCACCCGTGGTGCTCGACGGCCGTCTCGGAGCTGTCTTGTGGCGGTCTGGGGCAATCCCGAAGCCTCTTGGAGCCATCCCAAGGCCCCAAGGCGCCACCAATGGGGGCCCCAAGAGAGCTCCCAGAGGGCCCCGAAAGGCCTACAACAGATTGCACGTTCGCGCGAATTCTTTGTACCACTTTGGGGGGTCCCTCTTGGGGCCCTCGGGGAACGTTCTTGGGGCCCTCCGAGGGCCCACTGGGGCCCCGGGAAGGCCCCAAGAACGCTCCCAGAGGGCCCCAAGAATGCTCCAAGAGGGCCCCAAGAGGACCCCCACAAGTGACAAAAACTATTTGCATGAGGGTGCAACTTACTCGGCGCCTCTTGGGGCGCTCTTGGAGCCGTGCTGGGCGCCACTCGTGGACGACATGGGCTGGGCGACGGCATGTGGACCCTGTCGCTTGGGCCATCGGGGGTGCTCCCCAATGGGGCCACGAAGCTTGTGAGCGTATGACGGAATGGGCTGGGCGGCGGCCTGTGGGCCCTGCCTGTGGGGCCGTCGGTGTAGCTCCCCGTGGGGCCACGAAGCGTGTGAAACGTATGCCGAAATATGCTGGGCGGCGGCCTGGGAAACCTGCCGCTGGGACCTTTTTGTTGGTGGAGCTGCCTATAGGGGCACGAAATGTTTGAAGGTGTCATCAATGTGGCCTGGGCGACGGCATGTGGACCTTGCCGCTGGGACCTCCGATGAGCTCCTCATGGGGACACGAAGCGTCTGAGGGGCGTGCCGACATGGGCTGGGCGGCGCACTAAGGACCCTGCCGATGGGGCCTTCGGTGGAGCACCTCACAAGGCCACGAGACTTGCGGGGGATGTGGCGAAGCAGAGACGCGGGGGAACAAGGGGGGTGTTTTGATGATGTTGATGAGGATGGTGGTGGTATTGATGATGGAGGCGGCGAGAATGCTGATGATGCTGATGATGATGGTGATGGCGACGATGACGATGGACGATGACGACGGAGACACGCGGAGAGCAGGGGCAAATACGCGAAGAGGGAGGACGAGGGAGGGGGCCGGAAGGAATGACGCGGGGCGGTGTCTCTTCAAAACGAAGAACCAACACTGCAATATGGTAGGCAATTTCTGGACGACCCCCCCCGTGGCGCGGTCAATGTCCGCGACAACATCGCTGGCACTACGAACAAAATGATCGAACTCTTCCTGCGACGTTACCCGCGGGGTGGATCAGCCAGGGATGGGGGTCGAAACCGCCCCAGCGCAAAGCAAATGTACAATCCTGAGAAAACCCAGCCCACATCAACCGATCCGCAACAAGCACGCAAGCCTCTGACGACCCCAACGCACGTGACATCGCACAACGCGACGCGCCATCGAAAACGTTCGACGCGCGGCCTCGTAATGACATCAGGCTTCATGGAACGTCGAATTGACAACATGAAAAGCCGCCCTGTGGGCTCCGAGACCCAGAATTACTGATGTGAAGGATTTCGGCTCGTCGAACAGCCGCCGTAGCAGACGCGGGCTCATGACGCCTCGGCGTCCCCCCTCGGGCCAGCCGCCTCGCGCCAGTAACGGCTCAAGGGGTGCTGGGTCGCGCGAGGGCGCTGGCTGGCGAGCGGGCGGAGGGGAGGGGGGGGGACGCTGGCTTGAGCCAAAGTGGCTACGGAAGTCTGATGGCGATACGCTTTTTTTTCAGCGGCCGCAGGCGAGCGCGCCAGCGGCGAGTCCAGTCAAAGCGGGGCACGCAGCGACAAAGAATTGAATTGTTTTGTTGATTATTTCGGCTAAACGCAGAAATGACCCTAGGCAAGAGTAACCTTCCTTTCACAGAGGATCTGTCGACACCTATCCCAGGCTTCGTGGGTTTTCGAATGGACCAGAGATTGGGGCCCAACCCTGGGATATAGAAGGGAGGGGCGTCCATCATCGAGAGGGGTGCGTCCGAATTGCCACCTTGGGGAGTACCCCAGGGTTCCCCTCCTCTTCTTAGCCGCTTCATTCCTCGTCGAAAAGTAGAGGGTCGGGACAGAAGCATCGCCTGCGATCGACTACACGTAAGAGTGACTCTAGGCAAGAGTAACCTCTGGTGCGCGACGTAACGGGGGACGTTGAGTGGCCAAACCCCGGGCGCGCAAGCCGCTGCTGCCGCTGTGCGCTTAGCGACCGGGGGGGCCCATTGGACCCACACCAGAGGTCACTCCAGCGAAAGGTCCCCCTTACTGGAGGGGCCGTGGGACACACAAATAAACAGACACAAATAACAGGATCCCCCATATGTTCCAGATTTTCTGGGTTTTGGGTTCCCCCCCACTTCTTATAGCTTCCCATACTTTCTGGGGAATCGACGATTCATTCTGTCTGTGTGTGTGCTTTCCCTCCTGACTTACGTCCAATCGAGCAAGTTCGTGCACGCTCACCAGCCGCGGCGGGCTGGGCCCCCTGCAAGCTCTGACCCGCAACGCCCCGGGCAGACCGATCGAGAGGAGGACGACGAGGAGGAACGAGGACGAGGAGGAACGAGGACGAGGAGGAGGACGAGGAGGAACGAGGACGAGGACGAGGAGGAGGACGAGGAGGAGGACGAGGACGAGGAGGAGGACGAGGAGAGGAGGAGGACGAGGAGGAGGACGAGGAGGAACGAGAAGAGCGACGATCATCCGGACGAGCCCTGTGCTCGAAGATCAGAGCCGAAGGTGCACGGAATTGCACGGACAGTCTTGCTCATCGAGGGGAAGAACGGCAACAACCAGGCTCACTCCAACGAGCTCTGTTTTGGAAGACGATATCCGGAAATGCACGCGCATTGCCGTATGCACATCTTTGACCCTCGATGGAAGGAGTCGAAGGAGGAACGAAAATAACCATGCTAATCTCGAAAGTGAGAGCCTGAATCATTGTCGATGCGCATGTTTGGAAACGAACGGACCGAGGAGGAACGAAAACAGCGACGCTCATCCAACCGAGACTTGCACTCGAACAAATGCTTGCGCAATCTGACTCCGGTTGGTCCGCTATGACGGTGTGAGCTCATGTTGGAAGCGGCACGGGGGGTCACAGGGGGGTCTGCGCTGGATGGGTCCCGAGAAAATCGGTACAGAGGAGGACAAACCCGAACCCACTAAACATCCGCCCCATGCACCCCCTCGGGATCGAAACTGACCAACACTCCAGGCCGCGCCCAGCCGTGGCGACAGCGGGGGCCCCGTTTTGTCCCCCCTTCTCCGCTGGCCCGAACCAGTGCTGGGTTACCTCGGCCCCCGAGCAGGCTTCAACTCTCAGTCCATGAGTCAAGAGCCCGGGCTGAACCTAAACGGTGCTTTCCGTTTTCGTTTTGTTTTCGTGTTCCCTCGTTGTGTCTTCGATCCGCCTTTAACGCAAAACGAAATCGAAACGAAAACGGCCCACGAAATCGCCAAAACACCGTTTAGGTCCACCCCTGTCAAGAACGAGCCTTGTACTCGAAGATGAGGGGCACGAAAAGCCACCATATGCGCCCGAAGCGCTGCAGGCCGCTGTTCCTGCAGACCAGCACCCAAAACGTCAGTGTGCTCGGGACGTACACGACAAGGGCGGCCCGCACGACGACGTCGCCTGCGGGGAGATTGCACCCACACACATCGGGAGGCGTCAGCTGATCACCTGCAGGAAGCACCTTCTGGGAGGTCATCGGCAGAACGGTCAAGGGCTACTGTACTTACTGTGCTCGAGGACGGGGCCCCTGAACCGCATCAGCCCAGATTGCAACGGGATTATTCGGAGGACGTCAACTTTGGGGATCCTGAACAAGTTATAACTAAGGTGATGGCCCGCGCGGTGACTGCGGAACCCAACAAAAACTTCACAGTACGGGCCGTCACCGCACGGTTCTGGGACCTCTGGAGGCACCAATTGCGAGGCGGAGATTTATCCATATCCACCGCCTGGGAACCGACTTCCTGGTGCCCCAGCGGGCGGTGGATATGGCTATATTTCGGCCCCCGAAGGCCCGAATATGTTCATATCCACCACCTGCCGAGGCTCCGACAACTGACCCTCCAGGCGGTGGTCATGTATACATTCCCGCATTGGACCAATCGCCCCCATTCGCCCGAGACGTCCTAAGACCGTGCAGTCACCCCCGATCCCCACTGACTCACGACACGGTGTCTCCACCGCATCGTTTGAGGGGGCCCGACCTCAGCTGGCCCTGGAAACGACAAGGTAATGTGTTTAAAGAACTGTCGAGAACACGACAGCAGCAATGTGTTAACCAGCGTAGACCCCAAACAGTGAGTTGTTAGATCTACGCGGCGAAGTCTACGACTTGTAAATGTGGAGGTATATGCGTGGCGCAAAGCGACATAACGCAATTCGAAGAGTTCCAAAGCAATGCAAAACAAAGCAAAGAAATGCAAAACGCTGCAACGCTATTGAATGCGATGCAAACAAATGTACAACAATGCAAACCAATGCAAATGAATGCAAAGCAAAACGATGCAACGCAATAGAAAGTGATAGAAAATAAAGCAAAGCAGCACAAAGCAATGTGAAGCAATGTGAAGCAATGCGATGTGGGCGTGCCTCGGCATGCCGGGGCCGTCCTGCAAGAGGGGGGCACCCAAGAGTGGGAGTTTGGAAATCATCGCCCGAGGCACGCGCGTAGTGACTTGGATGACCGCAGTGGCTGCTTCAGGGGATTAGGGGTGATGAGTGGATGCGAAATTAGGATAGGTCTGGCCTGACATGGCGTTTACATGGGCTACGAATGCCCTACATGGCGTAACGGCTAGGTAACTGCAGCCCAGGTCTTTGCCCCCCATAAGACGCCTAGAGCACTTGCAACCCTCTCATAAGCGAGTTTGGGCCAGGTTAACCTACTATTAGCATCAATGTAGAATCCAAATAGGGCTCATGTCGAGGGTGTCCAGGGCGGGGGGCGCCCAAGAGTGGGGGTCGCAGATCATCGCCCGAGGAACGTGAGCGGCCAGTGGACGCGTTGAAAGAAGAAGAGGGGGCCATGAAATCCAGGGAGATAGCACGGCCCTGGCAATGACCTGCACCCCTTGCTGGTCATCACCCCCCCCTTGGCCCGCCTCCGAGAACGAGCCCTCAACCCCAAGGTGTTTCCCAGGACCGGCTTCTTGTTCGTCCTGAGTTCGTGTATCTGACGGCCCCCGAAGAGCCCCTGGGAGCTCGAGCGCGGAGAGAAACTTTCAGAGACCCTTTTCTTCCGTGATGTCGCACCTTGGGACCTTTGATCATATTGACACGACAGACCGCCGACCTGAACAGAATTCTCGTGCTGTTCGCGCGGATCTCTTGGGTCGGCGCTGAAGACCCCGCCCAGCGCCTGATCCCCAGCTCGCGAGGCCCCAGCTGGGGTCGGCGCCAAAGGCGCCGCCAGGACCCCCTTTTCGAGGCGAAAGACCATCCTCGTGGGCAAGACCGAAAGGGGCGGCGGACAGGGACAAATTTGGGTCCCGGGGCGGGTCCCACAAAACTCTACATCCACCACCCCTGACATCTGGCGATATAATTGTTCAATCCGTGGCCCCAGTAGGTCACGGCCCCCGTCCCTGGGGGCAGTTCTGTGCCCTGGACCCATTTGGGATGGTCCGCAGGGCCCCAGGGCCCGAAGATGCACCCCAGAGGCCGCAAGTAAAGAACCACGCCCGGACTGAGAACTCGTTTTCTGGTCGACGGCGACTTTTCCAAGAAACGGTCAGAAAGCACCAGGGCGCAGTGGAAGGCCAATCGGGGCACATGAGGCGAGCGCTGGGGTAACTGCAAAAGTCACCTCGACAGAGATCTGGAACCGACCCCTGGGGCCCCGGCGCATCGGCTGCACCCCGCCGCGGTGGAGATGCATGAGCCATGGTCTCGGATCGGGTCGGACGAACGGTGAGGATAGCACATGGGGGGCCTGGCGCATCAGCTTACGTAGCTGACTCTCCCGCCGCTGGGCGCCCATGTATCGAGGAAAGCGCCTAGCGGTGGGGCCGAGACCAGCTGCATGCAGCGGACTTCGTACCCCCCCTTCCCTGCACCTCCTTCCGTCCGACCCTATCGGACGTCTCTCCCCGGCGCCGCCTCTGTGAAAGAGCGCCGCGACGAGCGACATGCTCACGAAAACGGTCCACTTGAGCGCGCAGACGATGCGCTGCCCGACGGGGCCGTCGCTGTGCGGCAGCTCCTTGACCGGCGCGGCGCCCGCGGCTGCCAAGGGGAGGGACAAATCCAGCTGCCTAGAATCCGGGCGCAACGATTTGTTCACGCCAGGAGATTTCGCACCAGTTGCCCCTCCTCCCAGCCAGGGGGAGGAGGAGGAGGAGGAGGAGGAGGAGGAGGAGGAGGAGGAGGAGGAGGAGGAGGAGGAGGAGGAGGAGTAGGAGGAGGAGAAGGAGGAGGAGGTGAAGGAGGAAGAGGAGGGAGAGGACGAGCCCTAGTCTGGGCAATGCAATTGTTCCACACTGGTCGTGTTCGCCCAAAACCGGATCCGGGGACTATATCACAGATCGATCCGGAAAGGTCGAGGGCTCTGGTCGTGATGTATTGCGATGCTGATGTTTGTTTCGCAACGTCGGATCTCAGGAAGGAGAATGGGGTTGAGGAGGAGGACAGGAGTAAATCCAAGACGCTTCACCGATAATGCGACACATGCACCCTCATGTGCCAGTCCCTTCCCCATCAGTCCCTGCAAGAATTGCTGGTTCAGTGCGGAGATCGCCTACCTCGAAACGAGAGCGTGCCATGCGCCCTCAATTCAGGCGATCGCTCATTTTGAAGGGAAGCACCCTCCATACTTCTAGCCAGAAAACTACGACAACATGAAGTTAAACGTTCAAGGAAATGCCCAATGAGCCGCCCTGCGTCGGTGATTGTTGAACCTTCTGAATACCAAATCGGACGAGAATCCCATGTTGAAAAGAAACGCTCGCCAATCCGTGAAACTGTTGCACATGCTTACCAAAAGTGGAAACAATTTGCTGGAAATCTCACGTGCGAACCCCAATACGTCTGAACCCTGAAATGCAGGAATCCATCCGGGCAGTTCCACCAGCCCGCTGGGAGGAGGTGGCAGAAGATGTTGAATCTGCCATCTTCCAAACCCAATTTTCACATGTTCCTGAGAAGAGTACACCCCTTCCCCCACCCGACAGGCATCCAACACGGACCCATGAGGGCACCCCCCCCACCATGGCTATCAAACAGCACACATTTCGAATACACTTTGCCTCCAGGTCTTGAGCATGCGTGGGCGCCCCGCGACCACTTTAAACTGGTCTTCATAGGGACGGCGTGGGTGGCGGCACATTGCTTGCTGCGTGCAGACCAGCACCCCCCCACCATCCGCTGCAAAGAACATACAAACATTCGCACCCAAATCTCGTTCGCGCGCGAACGCCCCGCGATCACGTTGAGTTGCAAGGGGCGGTGAGGGGGGGCAGCAAGATCGCCTGCGGTGCGCAACGCCACCACCACCCCACCGTCCCCTTGCAGCGAAGAGCATCGCAAAATGCACGCTGCACCAGACTGTGGATCCTGCGCGGACGGTACGCGCTCCTCACACAGTGGTGACCTCTTGCCAGGGACGGCGGCGGGGGGGGATGGCGACATGCTGCCTGCTGCGCGCAGGCCCACCGACCCTGTCCACAAGCACATGCAAAACGATCGCGGACGCATGGCCGCACACAACACGCCCGCCGTCACTTCCCAGTGGTTCTTGATGGGGACGGTGGAGGCGTTGGATAAGGAAACCTTCGATAAGGAATCCAGGGTCTGGAAGCCAGTGGAACTCAAATCGTGGATCGGCCATGGATATCACCGCCGCCCTCATTTTGTAAGGAATCCTTCTGGGTCTGGCGCCTCCTGGGCACATTCCTCAACCAACGCCCCCACCGTATGCAAAACGATCGTGGACGCAGACCCGCACACAACAAGCCCGCCGTCACTTTCCATTGGTTATTAATAGGGCCGGCGGGAAGGTCGACGCATTGCCCGACGTGGCGTGGCGCACCGCGGCGCGCGTGGCGTAGATGGCATGTGCAGCGCACCTCGCGGGCTTCGCGCACCTGGCGGACCTCTGCATTTGCTCCCGATGGTTGCTAATGGCGGCCCATGTCCATGCTGAAATTGGGGTGAGCATCGTGTGCTGGGAGGGACGGTGGGAATGAGCGCGACGACTTGATGCTTGTGGCTAGCTTCATCCTTCCCATACCCCCTCGCCTGGGTCTGAACGGGGGGGGTCCAAGGTGTCGGACGGCCCTTTTGGGTTCATGATTGCCCCGAAATGGTTCCTGGCGCGCCAAAAATTGCCCGAGATATCCCAAGAGGATCATGATTCCGTCTAACAGACCCCCGAGATGTCCCAAGAGGGCCACTACACGGCTCCGAGTGGCCACTAAACCTCCCCAGGAGCACGAAATAAGCCAACATCGTACCAAAACTTCAGGGACTTCTGCGACGTCTGCCCTCTCGCCGTTTTGTTTCCGACGAGCCTTTTGCCGCCTCATGCTAGTTCCAAGATGGCCCACGTGAGCCCCAATAGGGCGCCAAGAGCGGCCCAAGCTCCAAAGGGCCCAAGGGGCAACGCTTCGGCCTCGGAAGGGGGGGCGAATGAAGGGCCCCCCCCTTTTGAGCTATGGAGCACAAGATCGCCCAAAAAAGGACCCAAGACGCCCCTCGAGAGCTTCCCCGTGGATAACGGGGGATATGTCGAACCCTATCCCAGGCTTCGTGGGGTTTTCGGATGGACCGCGCATGCGGGGCCCAACCCTGGGATGCGCGATGGGGGGCGCGCATCCTCGATCAGGGTGCGTCCGGGTAACCTCCTTGGGTTATGTTGTTCCCATCGAGCAGCCCCACTCGGACCAAATCCCAAACAACATTCGATCATCCCGAAGAAAAGCATCGAAACAAAAGTCGACACGTGAAAACCCTCCTGTTTCGGAACCTTCGTGGCGCTCGAAATTCCGTTTGGTGCGTCAGGCCGAACAAGGTTGCCCACAGCCGCGGTGGTTTGCCCAAGACATTCCGTGTTCGTGAAAGAAAACCCACAGTTCCAGAGGAGAGCTCCTCGTCCACCCCGCTTCCTCCTCTTCTTACCCGTCAAACAACACACTCGAAACGAGGCTTCCGCCTGAGAGGTCCCAAAAAAACACACCCAAAAGGAAGCTCTCGCCTGAGAGGTCAAAAAAAACACTCAAAACGACGCTCCCGCCTGAGAGGCCCCCAAAAAACCCAAAGAAATCCAAGAGCCACCCCTCTCATCCCTGTAACTGTCCCAAAACACCAAAAAAAACCAAAGTTCCAGAGGAGAACTTCTCGTCATCTTCCAGAGGGCGGGTAAGAAGAGGAGGAAGCGGGGGCGGGGGAGTTCTCCTCTGAAACTGTGTTTTTTTGTTTTTGTGGACAGTTACAGGGATGAGAGGGGTTGTTCTTGGATTTCTTTAGGTTTTTTTGGGACCTCTCAGGCGGGAGCCTCGTTTTGAGTATTTTTTTGGGGACCTCTCAGGCGGGAGCATCGTTTTGGGACCTCCCAGGCGGGAGCACCGTCACGTGGGAGGTTCATGCTCTCCTCCTTCCTTTCCCTTTCTCCCTTTCTTTCCTTCCTCCTCCCTCACCCTCCTCCTCCTCACTCTCTCTCTCTCTCTCTTTCTCTCCCTCTCTCCCCCCTCTCTCTCTCTTTCTTTCTCTCTCTCTCTCTCTCTCTCTCTCTCAACACTTATTATATATCTCTCTCATTATCTCGTTTCCTCTCTCCCTCTCAATGTCGGAAGCGCAATACTTTTTCACTGTTGGAACGCAGTGCTCTGGATCCATCGAAGCGCAATGCTTCGTCCTCGTCGGGAGCGCAATGTTTCCTTCTCGTCGGAAGCACAATGTTTCCTCCTCGTCGGAAGCGCAATGCTTCCTCCCCGTGGGGAGCGCAATGTTTCCTCCTCGTCGGAGCAACGCCTTGGATCCGTCGAAGCGCAAGGCTTCGTGCTTGTCGGAAGCGCAATGTTTCCTATTCGTCGGAAGCGCAATGTTTCCTGTGTGTCGGAAGCGCAAAGTTTCCTCTCTGTCGGAAGCGCAATGTTTCCTCCTCGTCAGAAGCGCAATGCTTCATGTTTGGTGGAACGCATTGTTCTGGTTTCACCGAAGCGCAATGCTTCGTCCTCGTCGGAAGCGCAATGTTTCCTCGTCGGAAGCGCAACGTTTCCTCCTTTGTCGGAAGCGCAATGTTTCCTCCTCGTCGGAACGCAATGCTCTGGACCCCTCGAAGCGCAAGGCTTCGTGCTTGTCGGAAGCGCAGTGTTTCCTCCCCCTCCCTTCCATTCCCAGGCATGAAGGTCGGTGCGACGCCCGATTCGGTGAGAGACACATAATTAGCGACATGGAAAGGGATGGGAGGGAGGGGTAGGATGTCAGATGTAGCGCGAGCGCACCTAGCTTGTTCTCTCTCTCTCTCTCCTTCTCTCTCTCTCTCTCTTTCTCTCTCTCTCTCTCTCTCTCTCTCTCTCTCTCTCTCCCTCTCTTTCTCGCTCGCTCCCTCCCTCCATCATTTGCTCGTCGGCAGCCTGCTCAGCAGTTCCCTCGCCCGTCACACCCATATTGTCGTTGTCTCGACGTCGTTGCCGTAGCTTTCCGCGTGGGTCGAGCACTTCCCTCTTCGCTCTCGCACCCTGCACCTAGACTCGCGCCCTCGCCATGCTCGCCCTGGTGGGTTACGCGGCCAAGACCCAGCACCCCGTGAAGGCGATCACAGGCTGCGCCAACGCGGACATGACCGCCGCTTCCGACCACTACGCGGTCGTCCTCGACGGCGTCAGCGGCGCCCCAGCGCCAATGACCCCCGAGGGACTGGCGCAAGACATGCGCGACTCTCTCCGCTACTTCTTGGCTCGCCGGCTCGCGCGCGGCACTGATCGGGACGACTTCGACACCGAGGTGGCCAACTTCTTAAACCCGAGCCGTGTGCCCACGACGCCTACCGCGGGCTTGTGGCTCGAGAACTTGATCGTTATGGCGGGGATCTTTACCGAGTCACTGGGAAGCACGTGCATGGCGGTCGCCACCATCATCGGGAAAAAGCTCACCGTGTACCACTTGGGCGACTGTGTCGCCATGCTCTTCCGCTACTGCTCGATGCTGGGAGCGTGGCGCGTTGCCTTTCGCACGGTGGACCACAGAGTGCAGATGCTTGACGCC